AGGGATTTAAAAAGGAATCCCATCCTCTGACCTCTAGGCACTTACCGCCTAGCTAGGGAAATAAGATGTGGTTAAATAACAATGCATTGTATGTGTTAAGTAATGCAATATGACAACAATTCAAGACACAATTGAAATAAGACAACAATCCTTCAAAGCAGCAGGTAACTGACAGAGAGAGAGAGAGAGAGTGATCACTGGATGAGTGAGAGAAACAAAAAAAGTTCAGAAAGTGGGAAGATGAGAGTAGGTAAGAGCATTCGGGAGTGCTTTATGGAAGAATTGGAAATTGAGAACAGACCCAGAAGACAGTCAGAGAGCAGTTGGATCACCTCAAGCAGAAACAGTTTCAATTGTTCTAAAAGAGCAAATTGAACTTGCTATTTTCTGGAAGCAGTGGATAGATCAAGAATGTATTAAATGGTGCATTAGGAAGACAGAAGATAAAAAAGATGGGTTGTGGATATGCTTACTTTCCTGACTGTAGTCAGCATTTTGCTATGTATTTGTATATTAAACCACCATGTCATATACCTTAAATATGGATAATTGTGTTTAAAAAGGTTGGTTGTGGGCTGGGTTGAAAACGTCCCTGACTGCCAGCTATGTTGCTTGGCTTCTATCTTGTAGGAGAAGCTGCTGGTTTCTGAGCAGAGGTGAAGGAAGAGGCAGAAATGTTTGTTTCTTCACTGGGGGTTTGTATTTACAGTCAGCCCTCGGTATATGTGGGACATGGGTTCCGGAACCCCCACATATTCCAAAATCTGTACATACTCAAGTCCCTGCAGTTGGTCCTAGAAAACCTGAGTCTCCAAAAAGTGCCCCCACCTCCATAGTGGGTTTTGCATCCTGTGAATACTGTGTTTTCTATCCACATTTGGTTGAAAAAAAAAAGGCTGCTTATAAATGAACTGTGCAGTTCAATCCCATGTTGTTAAAGAGTCAACCATATAATATAATGAAATAGAGTATGGACTGGACTGGAAGGGAAGGGCCTGGGAAAAGAGGAGGCATCTAGGAGAGTGTGCGTTACCTTAAGAATGAGAAACTTGAATAAAACAGTGGCTGTGTAGGAAGGGAAAGATACAAGAGATGTTCTAGAAGATGAGCTTGTGGCCTGGGTGACTGAGTGGCTGATGCTGCTATTAACCAAACAAGGAAGGACAGCCAGCCTGGTATAGGGGAGGATCGAGGTTCGGGAAAGGTGGCCTGAAGTGAAACCATGGCTCAGTCACCTGCTGATCCAATTAGCTTAGGCTATGAGACTCAGTTTCCTAATCTGTACAATGGGACTAATAATATTTGCCTTGCATGCTAATTAGGAAAATTTGAAATAATATGATGACCACTACAGGACCTTGCACAGAGTAATAATAGCTCAGTTGGTATTATTATTAATGTATTTATTTGTGTACTCATTTTGTTTTTAGACAGGGTGTCACTCTGTCACCCAGGTGGAACTGCAGAGGTGCTATTTCGGCTCACTGCAACCTCTGCCTCGCAGGCTCAAGCGATTCTCCCACGTCAGCCTACTGAGTAGCTAGGACTACAGGTGTGTGCCAACCACCTGGCTAACTTTTGTATATTTTTTTTGGTAAGAACAGGTTCTCGCTATGTTACCCAGGCTGGTCTCGAACTCCTGGGCTCAAAAGATCCACCCATCTCAGCCTTCCAAAATACTGGGATTACAGGTATGAGTCACAGTGCCTCATCGGTATTATTTTTAGTATGAAACACAGGAAAAGACATTTGAAAGGACAGAGGTTAGGTAAGAAGTTGAGTTTTAAAAGGTAAAAGATTTATATCATTTGAAGAGAAACCAAAGTACTGAGTTGAGTTGAGTTTTAGACATGTTATATTTCCTGGATATCTTAGGCAAAATGTCTGGTAGGTCAGAGGAATATGGGCTCAGGATTAAAGTTTGGGTCTGAAATAAAGATGGCAGGATTAGACACAGTGGCTCACATCTATAAAAGCCCAGCTACTCAGAAGACTGAGGCGGGAAGATTGCTTGAGCCCAGGAGTTTGAGACCAGCTTGGGCAACATACTGGGACCCCCTCCCCCCAACTCCAAATTTAAAATAAAATAGAGGGCCAACTATGGTGACTCATGCCTATAATCCCAGCACATTGAAAGGCTGAGGCAGGCTGATTGCTTAAGCTTAGGAGTTTGAGACTAGCCTTGGCAAGATGGTGAAACCCCACCTCTACTAAAAATACAAAAAAAGAAAAAATACTGCTGGGCATAGTTGCACAGGACTGTGGTCCCAGCCACTCAGGAGACTGAGTTGGGAGGATCACTTGAACCTGATAGGCAGAGGTTGCAGTGAGCCAAGATCGTATCATGGCAATCCAGCCTGAGTGACAGAGTGAGACTCCATCTAAAAAAAAAAAAAAAAGATTATAAAAATTGGACTCTAAAGATCTTGTTTCATTATTTCAAAAATAAAACAAAAAATATGTCTATTATCTACATAGAGGTGACAGCAGAAACTCAGAGAGGTGGGTGATAGAGAAACACATAGAGAAACGAGAAAAGAAGTTCAAGAATGGGTTTGGGTTTGGTATCATTCAGGAGTCTGGTTGTAAGTGACAGAACCCCAAATCAACAGCTTAAGCCACTCCTCCCCACCAAAAAAAAAGAGGAGGGAGAAATGTTCATCGACTTAAAATAACCAAAGGTACAGGCAAAGGTATACATTGTTTCCAACATGATTACCTGGTTGAATCCAGGGAGGGGCTCAAAAGATGTCAGGAATGCCATGAGGACTCTCCACTCTTCCTTCCTGGGATGGCTTAATTCTCAGGCATCTTCTCCTTGTGTTGCTGCAAAGATGCCCCTGAGCTTCATTCTATCAGTTTATAAATCTCAGCAGAGGCCAAGCAGGGTGGCTCATGCCTGTAATTCCAGCACTGTGGGTGGCTGAGTGGGGTGGATCACTTCAGACCAGGAGTTTGAGAGCAGCCTGGCCAACACGGTGAAACCCCATCTCTACTAAAAATACAAAAATTGGTCGGGCGTGGTGGTGCACGCCTGTAATCCCAGCTACTTGGAAGGTTGAGGCAGGAGAATCACTTGAACCCAGAAGATGGAGATTGCAGTGAACTGAGATCGTGCCACTGCCCAGCAGTCTGGGCGCCAGAGCGACTCAGTCTCAAGAAAAAAAAAGAAAGAAAAGAAATCTCAGTAGAAATAGAACATGTCTTTCCTAGCAGGCCAAAGCCCTCCTTCCTACAACTTTTTTTTTTTGTAAATAAAGTTTTATTGGAATACAGCCATGCACATTTGTTTATGTACTGTCTGTGGCTGCTTTAGAGCTGCAGCCACAGTGCTGTGGTTACTATAGAGACCATATGGCCTGTAAAGCCTGAAATATTTACTATTTGGTCCTTCACAGAAAAATGTTGCCAGCCCTGGCGCTAGAATCTAAGGCCGTAAGAGCAGAGACTTTTGTCTGTTAAATTCACGGTTGTATCCCCAGTGCTGGAAGAATGCCTGGTGGATGGTAGGCACTCAGTAGATACTTGTAGGATGAATAAAGGGGAAGTGAACACTGGTTTGGTATAAGGACTGATCCTAAACCAGAAAGGACATCAACATTTCCAGGGGATTGGCTGGAGGGGCTCGAGGAAGAGCCGAGGAGGAGAGGAGACTTGGGCAGAAGCCATGTCTCAGGAGCTTAGATTGGGTCCTGATCCCCACAGGACACCTGGAAAGGAATCTGGATGTCAAGAGGACTCCAGTGAGCTCCCCAAAAGCTTTTGCTGTTTCAGTAGACGCAGGCTGCTGAAAGGTGAGGCGGTGGAAACACCTAACATATGCCCCATTTTGGGACTTGGGTGAAGCAAACGTTCAGTAACCCCCATCAGATGCAAGGGGAATAGTCTTTTTTTCTGCATTCAGGATTTTAGGAGGGGTAAGAACAGGCCATGATTGGAGGAGTCTCTGCTTTTAAAATGCTTGGGTCCCTTGGGATCTGAGCTTGAGTTAACTCATGAGTGCCCAGACTGCTCCTCTTGACATCTGTCCCTCAAACAGCTGAGAGGCACACAGTACAGAGGCCAATATCACAAATAAAACCACACACAATAAGCAATAAAGCATCTCTGGTGTCTGCACTGACTAACTTACATTCCCTGCAGGAACCAGAGCTTTGGGCTTTTCCCAGTGGGTTTAACATCTTCTGAGTCTTTGTAATAAGCCCTGGGGGAATTGCCCTGTATGCTCTACCATAATTTAAAACAGAAAGTATAAGGGCCATTCCCCCTCCCCGCCACCAGCTTTTTTTCCTTGCATTTAACTCAAAGTCTCTTCTGCTAACTTCATCAGAGTATATTAATTGATGTCAAAATCACCCAACTCATTTCAGTTGTATTTAAATCCATTTAAACATTTGCCGAGTCAATTAAAGGCAGGATCAAGAGTTAAACAGTTCTATTCTTGAGAGTCAATTCCCTCCCAGAGGAATTCTTAATGTGCTATTTTTTTCTGTGTGAGTCTGAAGTGAGTTCAAGTTGGTGAGAGAAGCACCCAGCAGTCTTAGCACTCACTAGATATCTACAAATCCATTTTCCTCTCCCTTCCCAGCCCTTCCAAAATAGGCCTGGTGTTCCACTAGCCTTTGGTTCAGGTAAGTGGAATCGTGGAGGGACTGGACTCCCTGCGGGGGAAAGCAGTTTTAGCATAAATTCACTGCCTGGCCTTAGTATCCAAGGCCTCCCTCTGGCTGTTGTTTCAAATAAGCTTTTGCATTTAGGTTTTCTTTGAGAAAAGTTGTTTCAGCCGACATCCAAGCGTGGCATTTGAGGTTTTGTTAAGTCATTCCCTGGGAAGAGAGAAGATATTCAGCTGCTTCATAAAGGGTTCTCTCTGAAGGGTGCCATCATGATGTTCTCACCTTGGCTGGTGGCAGCTGCTCCTGCTGGTGTGATAGGAGCAGAGATGTGAACCCTTGAGTGGGGCCTCCCATCCCTCACTCTTTGACGGCTGATTCTTCTAGATAAACAGCGAGTCAGAGCTGGGCCCTGGCTTCACAGGCACCCTGGACCAGAGGACATGGGAGTGGGCAGAGAGCTCCTCCCGCTCCTACCAACCCTACTGTGCGCTCCCCTCCCCACGGGCCCGTTGATTGGCATGTCTCTCCTCACCCCACACAGTGTCGGCATATGCATACGCTTGTGTGCATTCGTGTGTGCTGAAAAAGCAAGAGGCTAACCTCAGGCTCTAAGAAATAAAAATCAGACCCATGAAAAGTGAGCGGGGAGGGCGGAGATGGGGGATGCTTTAGGCTCCAGTGAAGGGCTGGAGACATTTTCGAGCAGTCCGGCGTGTACCCGCTTGCTGCCGCTAGGGGCTGCTGTGGTTAGGCAGGAGTACCAAGAGCAGAGCTGTTTACAAAGACGGAAAACGAAAAGATACAAAGCAGTGATTATTTCAGTTCATGAATAATTGTGTGATTTCAGAGGATTTAGGGACTGCGCTTGGCCCCGACCCTCATTTTGCAAGTATGTGACTTCTTTCTTACACAGTGGCCCTGCCAGGATGGCTCCGTCAGAAAGTCCCCTTCGTGTGATCTGCAGACCTGCCGTTGACAGGTGCGAGCTGCTAGGGCTGGCACAGGCTGGGCTGGGCTCTCTGCTGTGTCTCCTACACAGTTCCTAGGGAGAACGAGCGCTTGTCTCAGGAGAAAGCTTCTGAGGATACAGACGGGTAGGGCGTTCTTAGTTCCAAGTCTCCGGTAACAAACGTGGAAGAGAACAAACTAGATTGGGGAGGCAAGGTATGATAGCACCTTTCTCAGATTCTGTAATTCTCCATGAGACTAAGACCCAGATAAAGAACTGTCAGTGCTTCAATTTAATTCATCTCAGCACTTATTGAGCACCGACTATATGCAGAACATCTTACTCTACTTATACAGTATCTATATATACTGTTTTAAGAGCTGGGTTAGAAATGTGGAGGGAGGGGTAGGGAAAGGGCAGAGAGGCTTTTAGAATCAGGGTCAACAGGAGCTGGAAACCTAAGAAAGGCCTGTAAATTGCATCTACTTAGTTTACCAGGAAATAGAAAATGAATGGAGGAAACAGTGAATTAAAGGGTAGGGTAGGGTGCATGCTTTACTTCCTGTGGCTAAAAAACAAGAAAGCTAGAAAAATGAATCCCTCCTGAAGAGTGATTTCCTCCATGTTGCTAAAAGGTCATGGTGGCATTGTTATTCTCATTATTTTTGTCATTCTTATCTTGAGCATTTTTTGCTAGTGTGAGCAATCGGCCACGAACGCCATGCATCATTGCTTATCAGTTTAGCACTTTTCAATCTGAAAAAAACAAAACAAAACAAAACAAAACCCTATTCCTCCTTGATTGGAAATAAGCCTGAAATCAACAGCATTAGTAATACGGTCTTCAAGCTGCACCGTTTCGGCGTGGACTATGGCACCCATGATTTGGCCCTTCCAGCTCCAGGAGAGGATGTGCACTTTTTGTGAGGGCAGAATGCAGGCAGGACTTCTGAATTCACTGTCTGCAGCCTTCCCCCGGGAGTAGACAACGCTGGAAGCAAAACAAACAATTTGGAACCATCACCACCAGATTCTCCTCATGTGGCCAGGCAGCCCTGATCTGGGCAGACTTTGGTGTTTTGTCCCCCAAAGAGGGTAGGGGATTTCAGAACACAGAGTCAACGTCAGGACCTGACTGTCAAGTGATAGGGGAGTAGTCTGGGACATGCTTACTTGTCTCTGAAGCCCACCCAGATGAGGAGACTTCTTTTTCTCTCTTTAACCTCCATAGTTCTCTAATGATAGTGCAATAAGCATTAGAGGAAATGGGTGGAATGAGTCTGGTTCATTATCTGACACATAGTAGGTGCTCAACAAATATGATTTCCTACTCCTCTTCTCTCTTCCCTGTGGACTTGCATTTCCCTAACCACAAGCTGTCAATTCAGTGAGCTCAAGACTGCAGCCCCATGTAGTCAGCTCAAGGGGCTGAAGGGCAAATTCCTTGGGCTCTCCAGGGCCAGATGGGGGAGCAGCCTCAAGGGGAATGTGAAAATCTAGAAGAAAATCTGATAAACAGAGAAATAAAATGAATGAAGAGGCTGTGGGAGTATGAAAAGACTTCATTTTGCTGAGAGTAACAGCACGGGGCTTTAAGTATTTTATGAGTTCTGCATGAGTTATGTATTTTCTGCCTATAAAGCATTTGACAGGTTTTAAATACATCAAACTGAGCAGATTTGTTGTGAAATGCAGTACACATAGGCTGAGTATTTTGGTACAATCATAGCCACCAGGAATGCTTTTTCTTCTTGTGTGAAAATACAAAGAGAAATACCTCCCCTTCTTTTGATCAGTTCTCAGTACAGAGATCTCTGGATTTACACAAATATAAAGATGAATTTGTATGTCTGTGAAGGAGTTCAGGAAATGCCACCTCCATATCTGATGCTTTGGTATTTCTGGTTACTTTGAACTGAAGGCACTTGGGGAACAGAAGATTTGGGATTTCTCTGAGCTCCCCTGATCTGCCTAAAGACTGATCCTCCAGAAGGAACTCAACTGTCATGAATCTTCTCCCTAGGAATCTTAGCAACCAGTGGAGATGAACCTGGGCCACAGGAGATAAGACTGGGGGTTGATACCATAGCCAGACTCTCACCTGCCCTTTTGAAGGCTGCTCTGAGACAACTTTTACTACCTGAGAGATCTTTTAGCTGCATAAAAACAAAACCTTTTTCAACTCGCTTTTCTTACCTTCACCCTCCCATGGCTTTTCTCTGCCAACCCTGAGAAACCCCAAACCCCTATTCCTTTCTATAGCTCAGGATATTATATAAGCTTCAATCATCTGGCCCTTCTTCAAGTCACATATGTCTGTGGGAATCCTTGTATCATATGTAAATGAATATCGTTTTTCTCCTGGGAATCTGTCTTATGTCAATTTAATTAGCAGCCCAGCCAAGGAACCTAGAATGGTGAAGGGAGCCATTTTTTACTCTCCTGCATCTGGAAATCACACCCTACCAGATTTCTCAACTTTGACTTTTTTATGAAAGGCTCAGCATATGGAGACTGTTAGAAATGGAAGCAGGCTGAAATAATTATTGACGTGAAAGGGTGCTTGGTGAACAGCAGCATCCACGCTGCCTGCAAGCCCATCGGCGATGCAGAATCTCACTTCTCCCAGACCTATTGAATCAGAATCTGCCTTTCAACCAGATCTCCAGATAATTCAAGAGCGTAATCAAGAAGGAGAAGCGCTTGTCCTTCAGCTCTGACCGATCCTTCTCACTTCCCCCGAAAGACAGCCAGCTCTCTGAAACTTTCCTTCTCATCAGCTGTCATAGAGCTTTCTGAAGCAGCGTGTAGTGAGAACCCTCTCTTCTCCAAGCAAAGCAATTAATGCATTCACTCAACAAATGTGTGTGGGGTGCTCATTCTGTGTTAAGTGTCCATGGGGAGAAAAGACACATGTGTGAGGACGCCTGCACTGTGGCCCATTCTCTTCCTTCTCCCAACTTCAGGTGTCTTCAGCCAGTTCTTGGAATGAAATGGCTTCCAGACCCCTTTGTCACTGCCCTTCAGCTCATCCATGTTGTCAAAATAATACTTTTAATGTGATTTCATTGAAAAACATATTTGACTGAATTTTCTTTGAATGGATATTTGAATAATAAGTCCCCCTTAAAATCTGGCACTTCAACAGGACCCTATGTTTCCAAGGTTGCCTGAAAAAAATGAGTAATTGAGGGAGATTTTTCCTTCCATGGTCTGGATAGAATTGCCTGAGAGTCTCGAGTGTGAACAACACCTCTATCTCTAAGTAGCTGTGTGTATGGTGAGTGGGAGGCATCCCTATCATGAAATGAGGCCCTCAGAGCACGTCACTAAGGTCCCTTGTGTTCCACATTTTATTCCTGATGCTGAAAGGAAGGAACAAGAAACGCTGCCACCTTCCACCCCTCCGCCCCTCTGTCCTTCCTTTCCACCATAGTTACTGAGCACCCCGTGTCAGGCACATCCCTCGGCCCTGGAGATGCAGCAGTGATATGCGCAAGCACAGTCTCTGCCCTCGCGCAGCTTCCATTCTAAAAAGAAAAGACTGAAAACAGAGGAACCCATAAACGAGAACCCTGACCTGCAGCATTCTGGCCCACTCATTTGGAAACCACCTTTGCAGAAGTTATAACAGTAAGAAAATCATGGCAGTGAAAGAGATACGATTTAACCCACTCTCCATCTTGCCTTTTCCTTAATTATTGCTGGGCTTTGGGGCCGAGATAACTTTGGAAGACATTTAGGTTATGGTTTAAATAATAATGGCCTTTCCCCCAAACTTGACTCCTTTTGTAAAGCTGATGAAACGCCATAAAGCCATGAGGGTGGAGGGGAGCCTGATTCTGCTAAGGTGCAGACATAGATTGCCAGCGATTCCTGCAGATAACATCACTATTGTAGATTGGCCTTTTGAGGTAGTTTTTCAGGTTGTTTCAGTGTCTGACACCTATGGCTCCAACCAGACCCACCGACCCCACTCCTGTGGCCCCACCCAGAAGCAATGCAGCGTGCAGGAGGACAGTTTCAATTCCCACCCCCCACCCCATATGATTTCATCTCTGACCCAACCAATCCGCAGCAAGCACTCATTACCTGGCCACCCACCCTCACTTCTTCTGCCAAACTGCCTTTGAAAAACTCCTAACTTGAGCCTTCAGGGGGATCGATTTGAGTAATAACTCCGTCTCCCATGTGGTGTAACCGGCCTCAAGTCAATTAAACTCTTTCTTTACTGCAATGCCATAGTCTTAGCTGTGCAGTGAGCAGGAACAACCTGTTGGGCAGTTATAAGACTAAGTGTTATTGGAAAGGGAATGAACTAGAGGAAAGTGCAATCACCTTTGCAGAATCATGACAGAGACAGTGAAGGAGATCTAACTTAACTGACTCCATCTTGCTTCTAACTGTCCTTGTTCGTTCCTGGACATAGGCTGAACTAACTTTGGGAGAAACTTAATTTATAGTTTACAGAGTAAGCAAAGACGACGACAGCCCTTTCTGAAAGCGGAACTCCTTCTTGCCTGGGGACTAGATTGCCTTTGTAGGACTAATATTAGCCCCAAGA